GGAGAGGACCCAAATTTTTTATCACAAAAAACTTACTTTTCTAAGAACAAAATAAAGACATAAAAATACTCAAAAGATACTTTTTATATTATATAAAGAAACTTACAAACATAGACACTTACTTGACGACACTTACAACTTTGAAACTTACAAATTTTGACACAAATAAAATGACACCCTAAACTTGCTTACTTCGAGAAGAAGGATACAATGGAATGATTACTATGGAGAGAAGAAAGAGATTGGAAGCCGAGACGAAGGTTGGAAAGAGCTCGCAAGATTTCCATAGGAGGAGGGGAAGAAGATTGGAAAGAGCCCGCAGGATTTCCAAAGTAAAAACCTCTCAGGTTTTTGTCCCAAAAATTACATCATATCACTCTCATAACACTTCTAAAACAGCCACAAACATTTTCTATTTATAGACCAAAGAAAGGAATACCAATAGCCACTAAAAGCATTAATTAAAGAAGATCAAAAGGCACTTAAATTTGTAGCAGGAATCTGCCCAAAATTCAGCAAAAGACTCTTAGAATTCTTTCCAAAACAGTCCCCAAAAACAGCCATAAATATCCAGCACAGGAAACAGGGCAGAACATTCGGTTTCCAGCATAGGAAAACCAACAGCAACAAGCTTTTTTTTAAAAGCCACAGAGAAACTCCAAACGTCATAGCAATTCTCAAGGGAAAGCCACGATTCCAGCACATTGAAAAAGACAACAATTAAAGGGGATAAAGGCCACGGGTTCCACCACAGAGAAACCCCAAAGGTCTCCATTAAAGCACAATGAAGGCCACGGTTCCAGCAGCCTAATGAGGGAAATAATGCAGCAGCCCAAAAGACATCAAGGAGATGAAAGGGCAAGGTCCACTCATTAAATCTTGCTCCCAATCATTAATTTTATAACTAAAAAATCAGCTCATAATGAGCTAATCTTTCACTAGACATTAATGAGCTAGGGAAGTCAAAAATCAAATATTAGGATTTGATTTGACCCCCCCTGCTTACATCAAACTCCCCTACTTGAAGAACTCATCTCCCGATGAGTTGGCTTTTGATGGGATCCATCTATCCATTGAATCTTCAATTTCATTTGGCTTGTTTTCTTCTGTCTTTTTGTCTTTTTTCATTTTTTTGACGACTCAAAAAAAACACTCAAAAGACTTCACCTAAAAAAGACTTAGACTCAACTTAAGACTCACGACAACAAGACTTTGACTTGAAAACAAAATAAAGACTTGACAAAACAAGACTTGACAAATTAAAAACCTAAACCTAGGACTTCCTAAACTTGCTCTGATACCAAATTGATGCAACCAAAAATTTGGGGAGGGACCCAAATTTTTTATCACAAAAAAGAAACTACTCTTTTTCTAGAGAATAAAAGATTACAAAAACTCACAAAAACTAGACAAATTAGACAAAACAAACTTTTTATATCATATAAAAGGAAAAACTTACAAACTTAAAATTAAAGACGACACCCTAAAGTTGCTGCACTTGGAGAAGAAAGATACAGATGGAGTGATTACTATGGAGAGAAGAAAGAGAATAGGAGACGAGACGAAGATTGGAAAGAGCCCGCAGGATTTTCGAAGGAGGTGGAAGAGGGAATGGACAAAGCTCGCAAGCTTTTCCAAACAACAAACCCGCAGGTTTTATCTCCAAAAATCACTTACATAAACTTTTATATATCTTCTTATATAACATCTACTATATATAGACAAAGTAGAGGAATGCCAAGAGCCACATGTCTTTAATTTCCATTAGAACCAAAGCATAAAAGGCATAGAAAACTTCCCCCAAAGTTCACGGATAAACACCCAAACCAGGAATCAAAGAGGCAGCTAGCAGACCGAGTATTTCAAAGCAACAAAGCCATAGATTTCAAAAAAACAGCCAGCACCTCACGGAACCAAGGAACCAGTACCTTGGAAGCTAGCAGGCCGTGAGTTCAAAGCAGCAAAGCCACGGGAAATTACATCCCAGATAGGAATTCAGCACCACTTAAAACCAGAACAGGAATCCAAGGAGTCCATGTCTCGGTAAGCAAACAGCCCATCAGAAATCAAAGCTACACAGGCTCGGGAAACCATCAAAGCACGAAAAAAACAGTGGCTGGCCGAACTCCCAAGAGTTAAAGCACATTTATTATAAAGTTTAATGCTTTGAATTCAGCCACCATTTTAAAAGTAAGCCACGGTTCTCCAAGAGACAAGAAGAAAAGGGGAAGGGGAAGGGACAAGG